ATAGCTTCAAATAATGTAGAGATAAATGTAAAGTTTTTTTTTTTTTTTTTTTTTTGGAGGCAGTTTTTGTTCCAAGTGCACCTGACGCACGGGCCTGAGGTAAATATTTTCCCAGACTGGCAGAATTAATCACAAGTCTCAACATCCCACAAAGGCTCCATTGAGCTGAGTAGTCTATATGGACAAACTGGAGCTGCGCCTGAGCCTCTGTAAGGCTGAGAGAGGTTACTGACCTGATCCACCAAGTAATGCTGCACTCCTAAATCCGACATGTGAAGGGACATCCAGCCCGCAGCAGACAACCCACAGAGCCTTACGCATCACGGAGGAATGGCCCCGGCTGCAGCCTCTGTGCGCATCTCATCAGGAAACTCACTTGGCCCATGTGGGACATTATTTCACTCAGACTTATTTAGTGTAAGGAGCCAAATCAGGTTGTTTTAGAGCACACAGACTTATCACACGTGCCATTCTGCTTTGCTTGCTGTGTGTGGCACGGTGACAAGGGGGAAGTCACAGTAGGTTTGGTGACGGTGCAGGGGAGCGCACTGGGCTGCAGACTGTGGCCAGTGACTGGGGATGTACTATTTGATCAATTGAGCCGAGGGTTTCGGCAAGAAGAGGTAAATGTGCACAGGCTAAGTGGACGTCCTCCACTTGGAGAGCCTATCGCTCTGTGTTTACCTGTTTACTTTCACAGGTAGTTCAAACAGGCCACGTGCCTTGTCGCTCTGACAGAGGCCAGTATGCAGACTGTTGATGCAAAGCGGGACGAGTTAACGGGACCGGCTACGGGAAGTGGTGACACCTCAGTGATTCTGCTCAGGATGCTTCAGGCTGAGACTAATTACACTTATATTATCTGCATTTGCTTTTTCAAAACGTGCCAGGATGAAGATTTTTTTGTTTGTTTACATTTTCAGGAATTCGTTTTTATTATTATTATTATTATTATTATTATTATTATTATTATTATTATTATTATGCCCTGATTTTTTCAGTTTCTAAGCGGTGTTGTTGTTGTAGTCATAACTCGCAGAAGTTTAGTATCCAGACTAAAGGTCAGATTTTCTTGCAGGTCTTTTTAGACTCCATGGTTTTCCCTTTCCACTGAACCATATTCAGTCCTCATTTCGGGCTGCGTGTCTGAAAAGTGTTTGTATGTGTTGGGGGTGCAAAACCAGAAAGAAGATCTAGTGAAAAGGGCCTCTGAGCTGCAGATGCACCAGGATTTAAAGGACAAAGCGGGGCACAGAGCTGCTGCCTCCCATCAGCCGCTTATTAGAGTTCAGCTGACATTAAATCTTCAGCTCTGACACTAAAACGACCCATTGTAAAAAGTATTTCTCATTTGACTTCTGTGCGTAAAAACTGCACAAGACTAACCTTTTTATGTGATCATTGCTGCTATAATTACGCTATCACCAGTTTCGCCAGTGCTCCCATTTTAATAATATAAGCAACCGAGCTGACTGGCTCATTATTAAAGCTCGTTACACTTTTTTTTTCTGATCCCAGCTTTGCAATCAAACGTACAGCAGAATGGACTCATCCAAAAACAATTAATTTTTCGGATGAACCCCAAAAAACGGGCCCCGACTGATTAATTATAATTCCCTCCTAAAAATTCATGCCCACGATTGTTCCCAAATAAGTGAAGAAAGAGCTTTTTATATTCTTGATTAAATAAATCTTTCGATTGAATGCACAAATAAGAATGCCGCAGGAGAATCCATAATAATGTTGATCATTCCCTCCTTTAATCGCTGAATTTCAGCGTGTTTGGAAGCCTCAGGCAGGGAGTTAGTCTTTGATAAAGGTAACCCCGCCTGCCTCAGGGTGCCCGTGATAAATGTACAGAGTGACAAGACCGATTTCCTCCCTCTATGATTAAAAGCCTATATATATTATATGCAGGTAAAGCGGGTCCGGTTTATTTATTATGGGGGCTAAGCCATGGCCTGGGGAGACATGGCTTTAGGCTAGAAATCATTTTGAAGCCCGTTTTTTTCCTCCTTCTTTTAAACAGAAATCCAGCCACCTTTCCTCCAGGGCAAAAGTCTTTATTCGTCTCCTTTCCTGTAATGATTAAACATGTCACGGCGAGATTATAGCAGTGCGCCCGTGCCCTGAGGAGATGCCTTCATTTGTTAAACCACCAGTTTATTTGTAACGCTAAATTTCATGCCACGCTGTGCCATTCGCCTTAATCTTTTTCCATGTTAGACGAATTGCTAAAAACTGCTTTATTATTTTTAATCACTTCCTTTTGCAGTATCGCGCTGACATTGGCAGGGAGGGGGGGGGGACACGGCCCTAGTCTTGGAGACTTCTTCACATTCATCAAAAGGGTGGAGGCATAATTTGGAAAATGTTTAGAACATTTAAAATCATAGATTATTAAATTATTAAATAAACAAATGAATCATTCCCTCCAGGAGGAGCTGATCTGTCCCGCGCTGGATGGCACAAGTACAGACAAGTTGCCCTCCTTGTTAGGCAGCCTGTGTGTGAGTGCTGTCATTACACCAACAGCTGTTGACATCTGTAGAGCTCTAGCGGTCTCTACCGGCACATTTTAGAAACAACAGGGGGTGCTTGTTTTGTGCATCCAATTAGACAACTTATAATAGGCCATAATGTGAGGAATACATGCAGTGACATCACGCAGATGTTATGATATGAGGAATGATAAGCATTAGTGCTACTCCCTCTGTAGGCACACCCACATTAACTTCACCCATGTCCATTCTGAGATACACAGATGTTTCTCCAATAAATTAGGAGGTAAAAGCTCACAGACACATCATTAGCAAAAGATGTGGTGTGTCCTATCCTCATTTAGAAAAAAAAAAGTTGAATCGTGTGAGAAAGGGACATTTAAGAGAACATCTGCTCGTATCAAAAAAAAGAAGCAAAGGTTTCGTTTACTAATTGCACACGTTTCAAGGGATGCAGACATACAGTCTCTACTACTGGACACGGAGACGCAGGCCACTCTCACAGTGTATCACGAGAAATGCAACGTTTAGCAAAGCACTGGCTGCAAACTTGAGTGTGTTATGATCACCAACTGCAGGTTAAAAACCAGCAGGCCATGAGTTTAAAATACGCGTCCTATTTAAACAGAGTCAAAAAGATCAGGGTTAAGGAATAAGCTGTGCGCTAATGTGCGTAAAATAGTAACAAAAACCAATAAGCAGTGTGTATTAGGCTGTTAAAACACAAAGTTATGTATGGGCCGCTTACCTAGACTGGAAGGGGGGCTCAATGTGTTGCCAGCGTTAAGACAGCGCGCGGAGTTAATGAAATATCTCCAAATGGGAGTCAGGAGTGCGTGCAGAGATAAGCCTGATGTGGTTTATATACCCAGAAAGCAAGTGCTCCTCTTCTCATATTGTCCAACAGCGTTTGCATAGCTGGCCAAGTGGCTCTGCTCTTGCTGACTCGCTAACATTGCTGGGTGTTTGTTTTCCCCGTGCTGTGACGTGAGACAAAATATTGGCCATATGTTCATCGGCAATAAATTGGTGTTGAGCGCAAACAGTGCTCCCTGCGCACGCTGCTTTTAACCCCAGTTTTTCTCTCTTTGGGAGACTTTTGGGACACTAAACTATCTCCTGTACAAATGCAGGTGGATGATAAAGTTACAGCAGCATGTTTAGGAGATAATTGTCTTCCTATGGAAGAGCTGCTGGTTGATCTTTATACTGCCACCTATTATTCCTCACGCGGGGCTCTCTAATAAATCGCTTGGTAACCAAGAGGCAGCGCTGTCCACGGAGCAGATGTGGCATGTTATCCACGCCACGCTTGCGTTTACATTAGATACCCTGATTCAATGATTGATAACCGAGGTCACAGAGATTCACAGGGACTCGGGCTTCTCCCACGAGGCAGACTACTAACACATAATGTTTGTGACATGGATCCACATTTGTCGAAAGTGAAAACAGGCGCGAGAGTGTGAGCAGAGGCCACAGAGTATAAAAAATCAACAACAGTTGAGCACAGTTAAGAAGTTAAAGTATTGCAGCAAATTACACAAATCAGCTCTTGGAGATAAATGCGCTCAAAATTCACCAAAAACCTTAAAACGTGTTATAGATATATGAAATTTAAAGTGGTTTTAAAGAGACTTACACTCACTTAATGAATGATTCATACAAAGTAAGTTGTAGAAATGACTTTAAAACAATCATTTTTAATTTTTCTTTAATCAGAATAAATTTGAACAAGAGTTCTAAACATACTTAGCTTATAACATGTAAAACTATAGTATCTGTCTCCTGTTATTTAATAATTCATGAATAAGATGAATTTCTAGATTGTTGATCCAAGACCCACATGCGTATGTCTCAGAGGAAAACCTGTATTCATTCATTTATTCTCTTGTGCTCAAAAGACTAAGGTAGATAAAAAATATATAAATATGGCGGATAAAAACTGTAAACATAAAATCCAAGGAACATTTCCTTGAAACGAAGCTGTTTTTATTGCCATAGAAAAAAAAAAAAACAATGGCTAAACAACAAAGAACTGAAACCTGACTCATAGTTTAAAAATCATTTTATGGCTCTTTTTTATATATATATATATATATATATATATATATATATATAAAATAATCTTTATTCTCTGTCTTCGATGAATCTCTTTACACCTGTTGCACGTATGTAGAACACGTTTCCATGTGGAGAAACCTCCTCTCCCGTATTAAAGGTCGATGTAAGAATATAGATATATGTGCCTGGTGTTCAGATGATGAGACAGAAAGCCAGTAATTGTTAAGGAAGAAAACAAGATGAAGCAACCACCAGTTGTGCTATTATGACACCTCGGGGGTTGGATAACTTAAATCAAGACAATGATTTTATTGTGGGCAGCCTGGAATCCATGCATGATAATAATGGTGTTGCCTGGTAGTGCAGGAGCGACAATCAATCAATAGCGAATGCATTACTGATGGGTTTTGTGCGAGGCCACTTTGCTGATGAAAGACAGAGATTATCCTCCCTCCCATCACAGTGTTCAAGAGTATCGCTAAGACGCAAAGAATACAAATAAATAAATTGGCCTCATAGCTCGCTTGAAATTCCGCATTAAGGAGAAGTAGTTAGTTAGAGTTGGAATGTATTCATGAGGCTCAGACGAATGAGAAAACGCGCCGCACTCAGCCTCTCTGTGAATACCCTCGTGCTGTTTGAGATTTGCCACAAGTGCTCCGGGTGCTAAATGCAAGACCTCCTGAAAAAGGATGGGTAAGATAGGCCCTGCCGGTCAAGCTATTATCAATCCCCGGCCTAAAGCTTGATGACTAAGATACTTCAGATGTAGTTAGCGGCTGCGTAAGGACACTGATGGCACGGCATTCTGAAATCAATCAGTTCAAGTTTTAATGTATCGACCACTCGAGGAGAACGAAAAGATGGAGAGCTTCTCGACACACAAATGCCAGAGAGACTGAGTTGATTTTCATGGAAGATACACTTAAAAAAAAAAGTTTGATTAAACCTGAGGGCTCACTTGCGCGCCTGAGACTCATAGGCGATGATAGCCGGTCCTATCAATTTGGAAGGCTTAGACATTTTCCCTCACAAATAAGCGCACTTAAGAGAGGTTTAGCGTTAGATCAGCGAGTCCTCAGTGTTAAGGCGACTGAATGGCTGTTTTTTAGCCCTTCAAGAGATGTGAAGCAAAGCGGAGGGGATGAGTTGTTTTTGAACACGGTACCCAATCCCACACACCTTTGCTGAGTATTACCATTTCTTACATGACAACGGCGCATTGTGTATTTGAGGAGCTGTGGAGTGTAGGGCGACCGGTCTTAACATTTTTGCCCTGTTATGTTATCCTAGCTGCTGTAGAGGAGGAGAAAGGAGGGGATTTTTAAGTGTGAAAGTGGCGAGCCGAGGGAAAGAAAAAGTTCTTTTATGGAGCACTCGTGAAATGTCTGGTATTTTTCCATCAAAATATCAGATTTATGGGTTGCATGGAAGGGCATTACTTGACATGAATAACTTTAGCACTTCTCCAGTGTTGAGCATTCTGTACAAGGCCAGTGCTTGCCCTTGGAGAGGCATGTAACTGTTTGTAAATCCTGCTGCTGGAGCCACAAATACAGACCCATTCTGTAAGCATTTAAGCCCCAGTGGTATGTGAGAACAAAACAGTTGTCCCAGTCAAGGTCAAGCCAAACGGGTTATATTCATAATATAATGAAGAATTGATCCAATCAAGTAATCCACTTAACAATATGTCGATTTAGTCAGCTGCCATTAGCCAGTGCAGTTATATGTTGTAACCACAGATGTGATAGAAGGGACAAGAACAAATGAGCTGGATTCATCCCTTATTCATGAAAGCTGACAACTTGTGAATACATTGTAAAGTAGCGATCAGATACATGAATGTGACACTGCTTTTTTTTTATTCAACAGCCAGATATGTAAAAGACGCACCATTGTTGATGCTGTATGTCTATGAAATGGGGAGGGAGGTCGCCTGATAGAATCAGTTCCCACACCATGGACAAAAGCTATGTTCCATCTTGAAAGCAGTGGAAGCAGAGGATCAAATCACAGCTATGACCACTTACTGACCAACAATGAAGTGCTTTTTCCGATAGAGAGGTATTTGAAATGGATGGAGAACCAAGTCCTAGAAACCTGGAACTAAAGGGTGGCTGTGAATGAATGAATGCGACAGTCGGAGTCTGTCAAGGTAACCAACCAGGTGTCAATCTGCAGAACCGTAAAGCAAGAAGAATTCAAAAAGAGAGAGAGCTAAACAAGCACAGAAAGCAACAGTGAGGTTGATTTAGTCTTTTGAGACCTCCTCCATTGTAAAACAATGTATGGTGGCAGGAATCAAGGACAGATCAGTACAGGGGTGTCTGGCTCGTCCTTGCCTTTACTCCGGCAGAGGTTTGGAGTCAAGATTCAAAAGCGAAGATTCAAAAGCAAAGATAACCAAGACTAACTTTTAACAGTGGGATATACAGTGATTAATGGGGGCAGAATAAAACTATTTCCTTTGAATGGAATGAATGGATTAACATAGTGAGTTTTAGGTGGCATGCCTCAAGGCCAGGCAATTTCTTACACATGTACCTCGCTGAAATAGGCATGCTATATTACACCCAATTAGTGAGTGGAATCCGAGAAGCCCGGTATGCTTACCCTGGGGACAACATGGAAGTCATAATGGAAGGGATATATTTTTAATGTTATATACTAGTCCTTTACATTGTTCAAAATGAGATATCAAAAACTTCATTACTTAATGACGTGAATAGTAAGAGCGAGTGCACACTCAAATCATGCATCTCTCTGTTGTTCCACATCCCATGTACAACAAAAATGAGTAACTCTAGTCAAAGTTACTGCCAATACGGAGGATTTATTCTTTCAGCAAAAAGAACTGAACATGATAAATTGATGGTTATTCTCTGTGACTGAAATCATATGCATCAGGGGGTTCTCTGTGTGTCTCCTGTGA